AACCACCTCAGAGGTGTTTTTCTTGTTCAGGGCCGCCTCTGGCTCTGAGCTGCTGTCCCAGGTGCCGGAATGAGCCACAAGAGCCAGAGCTCTGCAAACCAGGGAGAGCAGCCTGAGCCAGGCTCCCCCTCCTCTTCTTCTTTCTCTCTCTTTATTTTTCCTCCTCTCCCCGAGCTCCTATTCCCAGTGGCCAGGAACATTTAGTCTGGCCGGGAAAAGGAAATCTCATTACAGAATTACGGTTCATTTAGCAGGTCCCACTGGAAGCCCTGCAATAACCACTGCCTTCCTAACAGGATTAGCCAGTGTCTGAACCTCCCGCTCTCCCTGCAGCCACCTCCCTGCCCAAAAACCCCAAAAACCCCCCAAAAAACCCAAGAAAACCGCAAACAGCCACGGAAAACTGGGATTCAGGTGGGTGCAGGGAGAGCAAGATAGAGGGGAGCTGAAGGTGGAGAATTTGTTGGTGTGAGGGTGGGTGCTGCTGGCAGAGGTTTGAACAGGTTATCCCAGAATTATCCCACAGTTATCCCAAATTATCCCGGAGTTCCTCCAGAATTATTCCAGTGTTATTACAGATTATTCCAGATTTATCCCATAGTTATCTCAGGTTATCCCACAGTTATCCCAGAGTTGACCCAGAGTTATCTCAGATTTATCCCACACTTATTCCACAGTTATTCTAGATTTATCCCAGATTATCCCAGAGTTATTCCAGATTTATCCCAGATTTATCTCACAGTTATCCCACACTAATCCCAGTTATCCAGATTTATCCCAGATTATCCCAGTTACCCCAGAGTTATCTCAGAGTTATCCAGATTTATCCCAGAGTTATTCCAGAGTTATCCCAGAGGTATCCCAGAGTTACTCCAGACTTATCCAATTTATCCCACAGTTATCCAGATTTATCCCAGAGTTATCCCACAGTTACCCCAGAGTTACCCCACAGTTATTCCAGATTTATCCAAGTTGTTCCAGACTTACCCCAGATTTATCCCAGAATTNCTCCGCGGCTCGGGACTTACTGGGCTGCTCATTCCCCGCGGCTGGAAACGCGTGCGGAAGGGGATTAGAGCCCGCGGGCTGGAGGAAGGGCTGAACATTTATATTTATACCAAAGCTTTGGGAGCCGCGGAGCGCGCACACCCCGCACACACGCGCAGCAGCCGGGAGCGGGGTCTGCCACTGCCACTGCGGCGATTTGGGACAAATCCCAGGATTGTCCCTGCCCGTGCTCCAGTTTAGAGCGAGCGCCGATGCTGGGCTTTGCCTAGAGGTGGCAGTGAGCCTTCGCTCTTGGCTCTTCCCTTCTGCCGACCCCCGGCACAGCCTGGGAAGTCCCGGAGCTCTGGCGGGATGGGGCAGGGTTGCTGTGGGACAGGAGGGACCCCTCGGAACCCACCCACCCTCTGCTGGATCTGGGGATTCCCTGGCATCGTCCCCTCTGCACGGGACAAAGGCTGGGGCTCATCAAAGCCAGGTTTGATCAAATCCTGAAAACCTGGGAGTTCATGGCCAGGGCAGGTCGCTTCTAAAACATCCCTGGGCCAGCTCCTCCTTTCCCGTGACAATTTAGGGGAAAACTCTTTGTCCCCCACCTCCAGAAGCTGTCACAGCCCACAGTGACCAGGCAGAGCTGCGACAACACAAAACATCCCAACACAAACCCTGGTAACCAGCAGGACACCTGTAAACCCCACCCAAAGCCACGTTTATGTCCCAGACATCCCTATCCTGGGGTTCAGAGTTGGGAAAAGCTGCTGGAAAGATTCTTTAGAAACGTTTATGTCCCAGACATCCCCATCTTGGGGGTCAGAGTTGGAAAAAGCTGCTGGAAAGATTCCTTGGGAGCTCCTCTCCTCCTCCTCCTCCTCCTCCACCTCCTCCTCCTCCTCGGCACGAGGTGGGTGATGAAGGGCGATCTCTCTCTCTCACACGTGGGCACACACGCACGCAGCAAATCTAATAAAAAGATATTAGTCCGAGAGAATTTGGCTCCTGGCGTTCAACTATCTCGAGCTTCATACAGACACCAAAGAAATGAGATTATGGGAGCGCACAAACAAGAAATTCCAGGGGGATGAATTCATGTTTCGCCGCTGTTACAGGGCAGGGAAGGACCTGCCTGTCTTCCCTTGCATTTCTTTTAAAATTCTACTTCAAAATATGAACCCCTTCCCTTCAAAAAGTCACATTTCCCCCAGCCCCAAGCCCTGCCACCTTCCCATCAAAATCCAAATCCCTCTCATTATCATTTTCAGGAAGCATTGAAGGCCTGACAAACACCCCAAAGTTCAAGGACTCCTCGTAAATCCGGGGCGTAATTTAGATTTTACAAAAACCCTGCTTTGAAACCTCTCTGAGCAGCCTGAAAGGGGCTCGAGTCACTCGTGGGTTATTCAGATGCAAACCCTGTTCTGCAGCACAAGGGGCTGAGCTGAGCCATCCCCAGCAGCTGGAGGTTGGGGGCAGATGCTCCAAAGCAGCAGCAGCAGCAGCAGCAGCAGCAGAGCTCCACAGCTCCACTGGAATCAGCGGAATCGAGATCATTAAAGCCAGCTAAAACCAGCCAGCTCCCGGGATTTTGTGCCATCTGAGCCCCTATTTCCAGCCCCGTTCCTTCCCAGCGGGATCAGGCCCCCAAAATGGCACCTTTGAACCTTTAGATCAATTCTTGGAGTAATTACAAAGCAGAAAAATCACTCCTGTGTCACCCTTAAGCACTAAATTTCGAGGTTTAAATTGTTTTTTGGGGTTTTTTTTAATGAAGTGACACATTTCTGAGGGCTGTGTGTTAAAGACTCTTTTGCAAAGCCCCAAATCCCTAATCCGGAGTGAGAAGTTATCGCTGGAGCACCTTGGGGTGGGTGGTGACAAAGGCAGGAAAGGGCCGGGGCTCTGGGTAAATAGGGCCGGGCAGGAGTGGAGCAGCCTGACGAGCCTGATAAGCCAAATCTGCACAGCATTCGCTGCAAAAAAACCGGCACAAAGCAAAGCCAAGAGCGCAGAAACAGCTGCTGCCGACTTCTTCATTTCTAAAGAGGAGCAAGGAGGGGAAAAAATAATATGATAAAAATAATCCAGCGCCAAGCAGCAAAGTGCCTGGGTGCTGGCCTGCAGGGAGAGGCTCCGATTCCCTACTAGAACCAGACAATAAAATGTATATTTGATTATAAAATAAAACGTATATAAAGTGTATATAACAGGGAATTCGGGCATCCCACCAGGAGGAGGGAGCAGTGAGTAGGGCAAGGTGGGATTTTTGGGATGGAATCTGGATTTATTCCTGGCACGGCTTTAATGGGATGTTGACACTGCTGGAGTTTGAAGGAATTTAAACTTCTCAGCCACCCAAACCACTTTGGGCCAACAAACACTAGCCTGGCCAAGAGAGCTGAGCACCAAGGCCCAGAAGTAGCTTTGGAAGTGCCAGGCCTTAAAAAACCTCAATAGGAATAAAAAATTCAATTAAAAAATAAAATAATAATAATATAGAATAAATATATAATAATATACAATATATACTATATAGTATATAAAATATGTATTACATATAGTGTATTATATATAATAATTAATTAAGGCTTTATAATAATAATTAATTAAACCTTTTTGACAGGGTTTAATAAACCTTCCTAAACTATGGAAAGTGAGTGGCTATTTTTTATAATTTTTGATAAGGTTCTAATAAATCTTTTATATTTTTTAAAGTGAGGGGCGTTTCTCACACCGGGATAGTGGAGGGTGGTGGGATGGGATGGGATGGGATGGGATGGGATGGGATGGGATGGGATGGGATGAGATGGGATGGGATGGGATGGGATGGGATGGGATGGGATGGGATGGGCTGGGCTTTAAGCTCCCTCCATCCCAAACCATTTCATGACCCCACTCTGGGCACCCCCAGATTTCCCTGCTCCCACCGCTTGCTCCGGGATCCTGCCCAGTTTGTGGTGGGAGGAGTTGAAATCCCGGGATATCCTGGTGGGAGGAGGTGAAATCCTGGGATATCCTG